GCTACTCTGCCCCATTCACTGATTGGTCCGAAAAGCACCTAGTTTGAGAGCAGCCTGGACCTTTGGAAGGTGGAAGGCAGTAGATGGCAACACCTGGATCTCCTCTCATTGCCACCCCTTCAAGGTGCACACCTGAAAATGGCCTAGTGTGAGATGGACTTGCCCAAGATCACAAGGCCCGGACCCCGGCCTGACCTGCGTGGTGTTCCATGCTCCATGCCAAGCCTGGTTGGCATTCTTCCATCTCTGAGTCTGTGTGTCAGACACACGTGACACCAGTCCCCACGAGCTGGTGGTGTCATCCATATAACCCTGGGGATGTACCTAGGGAGGAATGTCTGGCATGACCCTCCCTGTGCAGGTCAGGATGTTGGGCAGGTCCTGGGAGGTGCTGTGGCCTCAGCAGGACAGGGAACTGGTGAGAAAAAGCGGCCTGAGCTCAGCTCTTGTCTCCTCAGAGCTGGCACCCCCTGCGGGGAGGTCCAGGCATCCCCAGGTGCCTCCTCCCCAGCTACCAGGTGCTGGCTTTGCAGAGCTCCACCCTGGGGAGCGAGGAGGAGATGGTGGATGGATTCCCTGGACCTGGGGCAGGCTGCATACACCCCAGGACCCCATTCCAAACCTGGCAACCTTCCAGGGCCCTACCAGGGCTTCCCCACGAGACTGGCCGACAGGCCCACTCCAGAGGGCCTGGAACCTTGTTCCCGGGGGCACCCCATGCCTCTCCTTGCTCGCACCCAAGGGGCTGGGGGCTCTCAGGTGAGGCACAACCCTCCCTCATCCTGGTGGTTCCTGGGTTTCCCACTGACTATATCCCTGCTTACCCCCTCAGCCTGAACCTGAGCCATCTGTCCATGGGACTGAGGTCCCCAAGCGCAGGGCTCCCTGGACAGGCGTGAGGAGGAAGTGGAGAAAGCGCACGGGACGCGTGGAACCAGCTCCAAACACCAGCCGGAGCGCTCCCGAGGCCACCCTCCCTCCCGAGGATGCTGACCAGCTGACCACGGGCCAGCGGCTCCCCCGGTGAGCACCCACCCCCTCCTCAGCACAGTCGAACCTCTGCCGTTGTGTGTCTTGCATGTCCCTACATGTGTCTGAGCTGCAGTGTGCTCCTCTGACAGGCAGGGTGGCTGGCGATCAGCCTGTTAGGGTGCCCATGGAGAACATAGGAGGAGCCTTAGAGGGGCTCCTCTGGTGCCCGGCAGTGCAGAAAGGATTGCCAGCCAAGCTGGGCCACTTTGGGGCTTACTTCTCTGTACCCGATGAAAGCCTTTGGCCTCACCCGTCAGTGGCCTGGAGCCTGGCTCATTTGGAAAAGCACATGGAAAGCAGCCTTTGGAACGGAGGCTCACGATTCCCTGTGACTGGGCCTGGTCCTTAATCTCACTGTGGCCACATGAGGGACCTCTGGGGGCAGCAGAGGGGTACCTGGGAAGGTTGTGGCAGGACTTCCTTCAGCAACAATAGGTACACAGTGCCCACTTCATGCAGACCCTTTGGGGACACTTAGCATTAACTGAGTGGAGGAAGCAGACACAATACTGGAACCCCATCCAGGGCTTAGTCGGGTAATCACTTCAGGCATCATCCGCAGGTCACAGCCGGGGAGCTTCACAGGCAATGCCCTCACGGCCTCCTCAAGTTACAGGGGGCATAACAAGGGGCCAGAGGAGGAACTGAAAATGTGAGCATTCACTGGGTGCAGAGGGATCGCTGCCCATCTCACAGAATGAGGGGAGGAGGAGTTTGGGGCTTGGGGCAGGGGGCGCACAGCAGAGCCCAGCAGGTCACTCATCTTTGGATTCCCATGGGCAGGCTGACGACTGGGACTGACTTCCTATTTGGGAGGATGGGAGAGGATGGGGTCCCAGGACAGACACGCAGGGTCAGAAGGGGGAGGGGCAGGTGCCTGCACAGGCAGGGGAGTGCACAGCGGACAGGCCCACACAAGGGTGGACCCGGAGGGCAGTGTGGCTGGAAAGACCAGGCTTCTCACTCTTCCACCCCCCGGCCTTCCCCCAGCCCCGGGATGAGACGGGCTAGGCGCCTTGCCTGGGAGCCCGATAGTGTGCCCGGGGTCCACCATGCCAGCCAGCCTTCATCCACCCTGGAGGGCCAAGTCCTCCACCACTTGGTCCAGGAGGAGCACCTGGGACCCACGGTGGCAGAGCTGGAAGGTGAGGGGCTGTGGCCAGTGGACCGTCTAGGGTGGGCTTCCCGGACTGGGGTTCCCTTCAAGGCAGTGAAGGCTCTTCTGTCATTGTAAGGCGCGGGGAATCAGCCCTGGGGTGACCCTTTCTCTGTGTCCTGCTCCAGACCCACGGCACAGGCAGCTGGCTCCAGAGACAAAGGGAAGGCTGGCTTCGTGGCTACAGCGAGTCCAGGAGCTCTTTCAGACCCCTGTGCAGGAGCTACGGCCAGTTTCACCTGCTTCAGCCCCTGCAGAGCTGGAGGACATCCAAGCAGAGGCCTCAGCTCCGAGGCAAGGCCCCAAGCTGGAGCCCCAGGAGCACTCAGGCCTGGGGCGCAGAGCAACTGCCATAATGGTACCAGGCCTTACAGAGCCAGAGCCATGTCCAGACCCCATGAGCCCCTGGGACATCCCAGGAGTGGTCACAGCCCCGGTGCCAGGCCCCGAGCTGGAGCCCCATGAGCCCTTGGGCCCGGGTCCCGGTGGCACCTGCAGGAATGGCACTGGGCCTGTCAGAGCCAGAGGCGGACCCGGAGCCCACCAGCACCTGTGTCGCGATCACCCGGGACGTGTGGAGGAAGGAGGAGTGGACCATTCTGGCATTTCCCCATAGCCTGGTGGCCGAGCAGCTGACCCTGATCTGTGCGGTGAGCAGAGCGGGCTCTCGGGGTCGGGGGTGGGCCTGCCCTGTGTCACAGGCTGCCCCAGACCTGCTGTCCCCTGGTGTGGACTCCTGTGATCTGGGCCCACATCCCAGCTTCCCCACGGACTTACCATGTGCCCTGAGAGACTCTCCTCACCCCCAAGCCCTCACTGACCACACGGGGACAGTAGGGCCGGCCCTCAGGGATCCTTGCAGACCAATGAGGAGGAGCGGAGGGAAGGTGGGCAGGGCCTGGCCGGGCTGGGAGGGGCAGGGCAGGGGAGGGGTGCTCAGGGAGGTGCTGCCAGGGCCTTAGGTCCTCGGGCCATTGGCCTGGCAGGCCTCCACAGCCTCCACACTTCAGAGGCCCCTGCCATGGACCTGACTGTGTGGGAGACACAGACACCAACAAAGGCTCTGGGTGGAGTTGTTTCGGGGGAAACTGCACCTGAGTGGGTAGTGGGGTCCACGGGGTGGCAGAATGGGAGGCAGATGCCCCAGTTTGGGCAGGCGTGAGCTGCCTTTTGTTGCAGGGAGGAGGTGGGTGAGGGTGCCTGTGAGCAAAGCCCCTCTGTTCCCCACCACTGGGTGCCTCAGTGGACAGGGTCTGAAGCCTGGATGGCCACGAGGCTCACAGCACGTCCTCAGCTGCCTGGGCTCCAGCTCTGACCAGTGACCCTGCCTGGGAACAGGGGCACCAGGGGCACAGCTGGATGACCCTCCCTTGTGATCCCCAGGGGCTGTACGACAGGATGGAGTTTGTGGAATGTAACAGTTACTTACAGAACCAGCCACAGATAGGAGACATTGAGCGCCTGGCTCTCACCATGTATAGGGTCCTCTGGGAATGTGATGCCTTGGTTAAGTTGGTCACCACCACCTGCCTCGGGACCCCGAGCATGATGGCCTCGGACAGGGCCGAAGTGGTTAGGTTCTGGATCTGGGTGGCCATGGTATGTCATGGGACACCCCCGGGGTCCCCTCCTTGGCCAGCTCTCAGGATGGGTGCCTGTGGTCTGCCCTGCACGGTCCCTGGGCTCCTCCTGCCAGGGGTGTGTGGACCGGCACTCACAGGTCCCAAGGGGGGACAGCCATCCCTGGCCGCTTCCTTGGGTTGAGCTACAGTCCTCCACCCAGGAGGGCTGCTCAGCAGGTACTAGGTGTGGAACTTTCCATAGACAAACACCTGGAATATGAGGACGTGAGTGAGCCCAGAGGGGCACAGGTGGGCAGGATGGTGAGCTTTAGAGAGGAGAGAGCCCCCAGTGAGCCCAGACCTCTCAGCACCAGGCCTCCCCCCCTCCTGAGTCCCCCCTCCACCCCAGGACCTGGGCTTCTTGGAGAGGACTGCCAGAAGGGCCCACCTAAGCCCCAGTCCTGGCCCCAGGGCAGGTGGGGCTGAGGGCTCCAGGGGGCAGCATCTGGGCAGGACTGGCCTCCCCCTCAGGCCCTGCCCAGGGGTAGGGATGCTGCTCCTTCAGGGCAGGAAGCACATCAGGGGGCTGGCAGTGCCTTCCCACCGGAGGCCTCAGCTCCCCGGTGCAGTCCCCGCTTCTCGGTAGCCCCGAGCCCGGGCCAGGTCCGGGTGCTGTTTCTGGGCAGGACAGCCTTAGAGGCCCTGGCAGGCCTCCAACTTGAGAAAGGGTGGGGACGTTCCGGCCTTGTTCTGGGCTCAGGGGGCTGTTTCTGATGCACTTTGGTTTCCTTCCTGCCGTCAAGACCCCCTGGGCAGGACCCTGTCCAGCCCATCCCCTGGGCCTAATGTGTCTTGAGAAAGTTAAGACACCCAGATCTCAGGACACTCAAGGCTTTGTCAGGTGGGGGATGGGGTGTGGCATCAAGGCCGCCTTCCTGGAGGAGGAGCTGGAGACCCAAGTGTCAGAACAGGCAGGGCTGGATGGCATTGGAGGGAAGGCGGGTTCCCATGAGCAAAGATCCGGGACCATCATAGTGCCCCACTCCTCACACACCTCCTTCTCTGTACCCTGTTCTTTCTCTGCCCCAGTTCCGTGTCATCCAAAGTGAGATCACCATGCAGAGGAAGCTGGCCAAGGTGTATGACCTGGAGCCCGATGAGCGCTTCCGGTGCTTTGCCCAGGCCGTGGAGCCCCTGGATGAGGAGCAGAGGTGAGGCCGGCCGGAGTCAGGCGTGGGCTGCAGCTGCCGGCAGGCTCTGGGGGAAGGGCCCCCTGACATGTGGCTCCAGGGGCTCACAGGTGTCCCTCTGTCCTGCAGCTACAGCCTGTCCTGCCAGCTGGAGCCCCCAGGCCAGGGGGCCGGCAGAAAGTGACTGTTCTTCAGGCCCCACAAGATGTAAATTTACCAGCCGGCCAGGGCCAGGTGAGTTTCTGGGCTGGGGCGATCGGCAGGGGGTAGTGGGCTGCTCCTCAGCCTCAGGGAAGCTTCGGGCCATGCTGGGTGTGGGTGCGTCCTAAAGACCGGTGGGGCTGGGGTCCCAGCTCCATGGCTGACCAGGACTGTCAGACTGAAGCGTGGTCCTCTCCCGCTCTGGGATCCAGCCTCCTCCTCTGTTAGTAGGTGATGCTCAGAAGCCTTCCCGTGATAGGGACCCCCCCGGGTGCTGGTGATTGATAGGACCCTCCGCACAGGGCCCGGAGCCCAGAGGACAGTGGGGACGGGGTGGAAGCAGGATAATGGGGGGAACCAGGATAATGGGGGGAACCCGGGATAACCTGCCTCTTCTGCTCACCCGCGTGGCCCTGTAGCTGCTGTCATCGGGCCCTCGGCCCTGCTGGTGTCCTGGCTGCATGTGGAGGAGAGCTTCTTCCCCTTCGGGCAGGCGGCACCTGGCGCCCCAGGACCCCAGTCTGCTTGCTGCTCCTCCTCCTCCCGCTGCTCATCCTGAGCCTCTGCTGGGGCAGCTGCTCTGGCACCTCCTCCATCGGCCGACTTCGGCATCTCCCCAGGCTGCCGCTGCATCCTCAAGGGCCTGTACGTAGCCACTGCCAACCTGGCCGCCTTTGTGCTGTGTCCTACCCTCTGCTCGTGGCCCGCTGGACAAAGGCGAGCCACCCCACCGTGTGGAGGGTTTTCCCCTTCGAGTAGGTGGCCTCCCGCCGTGACGCCAACTGCTGCCTGGGTGCCATCAGCCACCGAGTCGTAGCCACAACGGTCCAGGAAGAGCTGGGGCCCATCCTCACCATGGCCAGCCTTTCCCAGGATGGACACAGAGATGGCGCAGTGCTGCATGGGACCACCGCCCCCTGGGTGCCCAGCAGAGGCATCCGAGGCTGCAGGGGTGGCCGGCCGTCGCAGGGTCCCGGGACATGCTCCCAGCGGAGCCCCTGTGCAACTCGCTCCCCTCATCCCTGAGAAATAGCCTCCCCAGGCGCAGTGTGCTCTGGGTGTTGTGTCTGAGGTTTATGGTTCCTGGGGGTTGGGGTCATCCCTGTGCCGAATGTAATAAATGCTGAACGGATTGCCACCACACGGCTCCTTCTTCTCAAAGCTCTGCCCCTCCTGCGGACATCGTGTGCCCCAGCCCACCCCACCCCAAGCCCTCAAACTCTATGACGAAGGGGGGCCCTGACCTCCGCCAGGTTGTCCTCCATCCTCTGTCCTCCCCCCATAAGGTGCTGAGGAAGAGCGGGGCACTCTAAGCCCCAGGCTGGCACACCTTGGCAACACTGGGGAGGGCTGTTCAAACAGAAACTGGGTCTTTCTTCCTGACACCTATAGGTGATGATCAGACACCAAAATCTACTGAATAGACACCCCGGGGTAACTCTTCACACCTTGAATGCCACTGCAGATGTCGTAACCCAAGTAGATCCCACGGCTGTAGGGCACCAATCTAGCACTGTCCCATTTAATGACATACAGTGCCCCAACCATTCCAAGAAATTCCTTTTCAAAAAATGTTGAACTTGGTCTCTCAAAGCACCTCCAAGAGGTGCACTCCTTCCATTGGGGGCCTTTCTCTGAGCCCAATTTCTCTACGCTTCACAACTCAGAGCACCCCCCAAAGCTCCCAGGTCTCCAGTCCTCCTCCATGGTGCATCTCAGCTGTCCAGCCCCAGGCCAGGCTGGTGTGAGGCTGCTGGTGTCCTGCTCCTGGGTACTGGCTGAGCGGCCTGAAGTCTGTGACCTGAGTGGAGGCACTTGGCTCTGATTCTCTCCACATGCTCCCCCAGGGCTCTCAGGATGTGTTCACCCTCCCAGGAGGGGAGGCCTGGGCTAGAGGGGAGTTCCAGGATCACCACAAACACCCCCTTGGGGGGCTCCAGGCTGGAGACAGTCTCCAGGCCTTATGCTGCACGTGGAGCCACAGACTGGGGACTGGGGAAGCAGACGTGGGCCCTCCTGACAGCCTCAGGTGACCAGGTGGCAGGAGGTAAAATCGGGATACCCAGGCCACCCTCCTTTCCCTGGTCCTGCCCACAGAACCCTCAGAGCCATCTGCCTGCATGGTGGTCCCAGGGATGACCTCAGGCTCCCTGGCCACATAGGGAGGGAGGTTTGGGCAGAAGGAGGGCAGGCAGGCGTGTGGCAGGGCGGTGGCCCAGGTCAGACCTGTCATCCTGCACGGCCCACTAGCCTCAACCTGCTGGATGGTCACTGGGCCAGTGGTCCGTCCTGTCCTGGTGTGTGCAGGTGCCCCAAGTGCACCGTGGCCTGGACTGCTGGTGCTAGGACATCAGGCTCACACGGCTGCGAGGCCACCCTGACTGTGGCTGCAGTGCACCTGCCCCACCCGGCATGTGCTGGGGAGGTGGCAGGGCCCTCTGGCCCCTGGTGCGCTACTCTGCACCCAGGCACAGGCTCTGGGGGCTCCCCATCTTCGGGCTCCTTAGAGAAGCTGATGCTGGTGTTCTTGTTCACAGGCTCAGAAAATGAACTTTGCAAACACTCAAGGTAGGAGAGCATGTGCGAGGCTTTTATTTAGAGAAAAAACAGAGGACAGAGCTCCTGGCTTATACCTCTCCAGAGGGGACAAGATAGCCCCGGGGTGATGTACTGTCTAGGGGATTTATAGGCCGGTGAGAGACAAAGGGCCAGGGATGCAGACCTGCTAAATGGTCGCCAAATGCTTATCTTTGAAGAGACACTTAATTTCTTAACAGTCTTCCAGATTATTTTGCAGAGTTAACACAAGAAATTTACTCGTCTGATTCTTTTCAGAACAACAGCTTCTTGGTTTGGGAGCCTATCAGTCAGGACCGCCTGTCCTGTTCCCAAGGTGAGCTGACTTATTGTCTGCTGTGTAAGAAACCTATTTTTTGACTTCTTGGGTTTTAAAATGCAATCTTATCTTTTAAGATGGAATCTTTCCTGTTTTTAGTATGTTGTTTGTTACTGGGTTCGCTTGCCATTATGGGTTGCCTAGGATGCAAATCATTTGATTAGGGGTAGAGGAAGAAAAGCAGCATCTGGGTAAAGTTAAAGAAAATAAGCCGGGCCTTTTAGCAGGCTATGGTACATTTTACAATAGTGTCGTGTAATTGACACAGTGAAGACATGGGCTATGCTGCGGTCTTTTCTTATGTGGGGGATATTCAAACATTTCAGACCAAGTTACTTCTGGCTTTTTAGTTTTAATTAATCTCACACAAGAACGCTTATATTACTTTAGAGAATGAATGTGACTGACTTTGCTTACTTGTCTAATATGGAGTTTCAGTAGGGGTTTTATTCCGGAGGCCCTCACCCTGCTCTGTCTGCGCCCACGGTCCCTGCCTCACCAGCACCGAGGCTCCGCGGCTTCCCTCCCCAGCTGCCATTCCCTCCCAGTTCCTCCTCCAGGCTTCCCTTCCACACTCCCCAAGCTCTCTGCTCCCATGCTCGCACCCCTCTCCCCCCGCCCTCCCAGCCTTCTCCTTCCCCCACCCCTCCCCTGGGCTGGGACTCCTGTTAGGAGGGCGTTGTGCATTCTCCTCGGTTCTTGTCCCCGCAGCAGCAAAGAACTGAGGGGCAGAGACACAGTGAAGAAGATTAAAGTTTTATTTACAGAGAGAAAGTGCACACTCAGAGAGAGGGGAGTGCGGGCCCCTCGGAGGGGCGCCGGTGTCCGACCTCCGCCCAGTGCCTCCGCAGGCCCTGCCCGCGGCGCCGCGCGCCAGGCGCTCCTCTGGAAGCGGGTCCCGGGGGGTCGCGCACAGCCGGCGCCACGCCTCGGCCTGCGGGCCGCCCGGGGCCTTCTCTCCAGGCCGGAGGGGCTGTCGGCCGAGGCCAAGGCGGCCACAGGCCCGCTCAGCTCGGGGCGCCTTCCACCGCGGGCCTCACAACAACTCAGAGGTACGCGCGGCCTCGCGGACTCAGGCCGCCGCTCGCCCAGCGCCGCCGGCAGGTCCTACCGGTGGCTCTGTGCACAGCAAGCAGCACGGCTGCTACGTTGCTTCTTTGTCCGCACAGTTGCCGCACAAGGCGGCCGCGGCAGGCGGGCCCGCGCCCCTGGAGGGAGGGAGGCTATCGCCCCGTCTGAGGCGGCGGCGGACGGCTTCGCGCACCGCGGGGGGAGGCGGCCCCGCCGTCGAGCCCCGCGGGACGCCGGCGGCCTTGCGCGTGCGCAGTCGTGGCCGAGGGCACAGGCCCTCTGGCGGCTCCGAGGGAGGCCGGCGCGCGCTCGCCTCCGGACGCGCGGGAGGAGGAGCTCGGTGCCCGCGGCGCGGCCTGTAGGAGCGGCCCTAGGGGCGGGCCCGGGGTCCGGGTAGTGAGCCGCCGGCAGGCCGCGCTCCGGGAAGACGAAACGCCGCCGGAGGCCACGGCCCGGCGCGGGAGGGCGAGGACGTGGCGGCCCGAGGCGGGGGAGGGAGGAAGGCGCGGGGCGCACGTCCCCCGCCCAGAGCTGTTGAGTTGAAGCTCCCGGCTGGTGGCTTCGGGCTCCTCCGTGAAGTGGGGGCCCCGGCGCGTCTGTGGGGCAGCCAAGGTGTGGGGAACGCGGAGAACTCTGAAGGCGCCGTGGGCAGGCTGGAGGGGCGGCTGGCCGGGGAGCCCGTGCGGGCAGCTCCGGGGCGGGAGGCGCGCTGTGGGGCTCCCGAGGGCCCAGCGCGTGGGCGGCGGTCGGTGCGCTCGGGCTGAGCGGGGGCTGAGCGAGGGGACGAGCTTCTCGGTGCTGGAGCAGGTCTTGTGTCCGTGAGTTTATGGTGGCACGAGCGTCGTGTGTGTGATTTCATCAAATAAGGCCGAAGCGTGTCCTAGAGGGCAGGTCTGGAAGAGGCCGAGCTGGGGTTTGGCCGGGTGGGAATGATGAAAGGGGCATACGGTGGAGGTGTTCAGGGTGTCAGTTTAGTGCCGAGCCTCAAAGTCTACCACGGGGGGAGGACATGCGGACGGGGGCTGCGGATGGTCAAGGAGTAGATCCTGACAGGGTTGAAGAATTGGCATGTTGAGGACATGGGCTGGAGGCACTGGAGGTTGAGGTCTTTAGTGTAGGATGTCAGTCTCCAGTCCCTCCCAGAGGTCAAACTGAGGTCCCCAAAAGAGTAGAAGCAGGTGTTCACCATACATCACGTTATTAGCCTAACCCTCCTGGCACCGCCCAAGGACCCAGGTGTACACTCGTACCTGGCAGAATAGTCCAAACGCTGACAGGTTACCTCCCAGGAGACTGCTTTGCATATACAAGATTTAAATATCCTTCACCTGCTGAGTTAGCCCATTTTTACTCACATTTTAAGAACTAGATTTAGAATCCTACTTTTAAATTTTATTTATTCCTGATTCTATAAATATAAATCTATATTACTTTTTAACCTTAAAAGTATAAATAATGATACTATATACAATACATACCTTGCTTTTTTCACTTAAACTTGTTCCATATCTGTAAAAAAAATTTTTTTCTCATTCTTTTTATGGCTGAATTTTATTGACCAATTTTCTATTAATAAATGTTTGGGGTTTTTTTCATTTTTTATTTCAAATAAGATTGAAATTTATAACCGTGTATGTATAATTTTACTGATGTTCTAATATACTTGTAAGATATATCTGTATAGGTAAAGTAACTGGAGCAAATGGTATGTACGTCTCTAATGCTGATAGTGCCTGTCAAGTACACTTATCTGTATGATTTCACCAAGTTTAAGAGTTTCTCTCTAGCAATTTGAAGAGTACCTGCTTCCCCATGCTCTTGACAGCACAGTGTATTTTAAGACATTTTTATGTCTGTCGATACTATAGGAATAATATCTTTGTAGCATTACTTTTATTTCACCCATGATGAGTAAGGTTGAGGATCTTTTCATGTGTTTGAGTTGCTTTTATTCCTTTTCAGTGAACTATTAGTATACATTTATGTCTAGATTTCCATGACATTGGTATTTTTACTGATCTGAAGGAGCTTTATTAAAAAATTGAGATCTAATTGACGTACAACATTGCATTAATTTTAGGTATAACACATAAAGATTTGATGTATGCATATATTGCAAAATGATTGCCATAATAAATTCAGTTAACATCCATCACCACAAATAGTTACAAACTTTTTCCTTGTGGTGACAACTTTT